CCCGGCATCGTCAGTGAGTCTCGCCATTCGTAGCACCATATTACAACCCTCGATTGTTATAGCAAATATACGTTTGCTTCATCGGCACTCCCACCAAAGAATATGATATAGCAAAGAGGCTTAAAATTCCTTGAAATTCACTTATGCCTTGTGACTCAAGGGTACTCGTGGAGGTGTAGCTGAGTGAGAACAACTTTTGGGAAAGCAAGGCTATGTGAAATTCAGCTCAACTCATATCATTGTGGGAAAATTCTACTACCAGTCCTTCATCACCTTAGATGAAGTAGGGTAAATACATCTTATATTAATGTAATTTGGCTTAATAATGGTCAATTTGGTAAAAATTTGTATTCGTTTTTTATACATGATGAAATAAACATACTTTTTAGTGAAGGACTCAGATTAGTGGGTCCTACTGTAAATATCACGCATAGCATATGCGATTATCCCTAAATAATACAATTATTCATCAAAAAGACCTTAAATCTGAAATGAATTCTACATGACTCCGAGATCTCTGCATCAACGAACTTCGAATGGAAGGTACCGGAGCTCGGTTCTTCGACAGCCAGACACCTCTATCGAGGCGGCGTCCTACTCTTAACCGAGTCATCCTTTAACCTGAGTTTCTATGATCACGTTCTCCATTTTAATATATATCGTTCCTTTTCATTTTCGCATTTACGCTAAGTCCGCTTAAATAGAACTGCGCTCACTCACCCTTTATGCCAAAAATATAATTCTCTATACACTGTGTCATCGAGTCCATGTTTACATGACCACCTCTTGATCTGCTGCAATAAAGTGATCCCCAAACTACCAGAAGCTCCTAAATACGTGATAGTTGAATTCTTCCACAACCTTATGAGTAGACTTCATGATTCAACTAAATTCCACTTTGTCTTGACTCCCCAAAGATATTATCACCCATACTGAATTGTAATGGTTACCAGGCCTAGAGCTCATTAGCACTCTGAATAAGAATACTTTTTTGGGAGGCAAGGCTAAGTGAGGTTCTATCACATCGGGGTACAATTCAACTATACCTCCTTTATTGCCTTATGCATCCTGAGATGAGTATAGTTCTCATTCTAAATCTCCTGGTATCTTTGACACCTACCCAATGAGAATATGAATAATGTATACAATTGTTTTGGCAAATAAGTATTTGTTTTATCGATGTTTCAACTACAAAATGTGATATGATAGAAACCTGGTTGACTTTGAAATTCTCTTTTGCTCTGTGATACACTGGTTTACGTGGCTATGCTGACACAATGGGACAAGTCAAAAATGATTATTCCATTAGCCATTCGCTCGGGGTTCGGATGAGCATGATAATGATGATGATGCCGAGATTTAGGCGAGGTTGAAAAAGCAGTCCAGCCTGGATGAGCATACCTTTAGCGAATCAGGCATAAGTGAAATTTAATGATGGCGAAAAAAGATTTCTCCTAGTTACCAACTTCAACTCCAGGCTGCTTCTTAAAATTTAGTATATTCGCTATTCAACTTAATCGTTCATCCAACTTTATCACTGCCACATACAAATAACTGCATATATTCTGATTACTAAAAAACGTTTACTCTTCATACTTTATTCCTATATTTTTATTGTAAATCTGGGCACGTGTCCCATGATGGCTTTAATTTAAGGAATCGAATAAAGTAACATTTTTAAGTATTGCTCAACTTCTTCTATCAGGATTCTTTGTTGATCGTGGTTAAGACGACCGGGATGGTATGAGCTTAGGTTTGGTCACAGACTCCTTTTGCCGTGTGGTGTTGATTTCAGCTCGTTTTCGCAGCCTGGTCAGAACGACCAGAAGCCTTGTGAAACTTACTTGATTCTGCGTCCTCTGCATTGAAATCATGACAACTTCCAGCATCGGGCTGTCGACTTGGTACATTCTCCGACATTTCGCCGACATCATGGTCGGCATCGTCAGTGAGAAGTGCCATTCTTGGCACAGAGTTACAACTTGTCAAAATGTCTTGTGAAGGCATTTTTCTTGACCAATTTTCAGTTCAACCGTTATGGCATCCCTCCAGCCCCACTTCATGAGGTACATTTACCCATTCACACCATTCTGTATTTTTTATTTCTCCTCAATGTCGCATGAGAATGTGCCATTTGAAGTTGATTTAATGAAACACAATCACATTCCCCACTGGTTTAATATTCCGTTTGTCGGGCTTCTGGGACCCAAATAAGCCCATCATTTTGCCCTCCCACAACTCCGTTTGTCAGCTGTTTCCTGCTATACATTGAAATCGCTGTATCTATCTGGTTGCCTTTAGCGCTTTAGATTCCGATCCCCGTTTACGTCATATTCGAGGATTTAAAGAACGGTGATTCCCATGCCTAGGAATCATCTCTCTCGGCTTTTGACCTGTCACTCCGTTATCCTCCTTCCCATCTTCATTCTATTCTCTCTTATTCTCTGGGGCTCTGTGCCTGTCTTTCTCTGGGGCCGCTAGTGTGAAGTTGAACTGCTTCACTTCTCCACTCCTGAATCACGTAAAGCATACTCCTCTTGTCTTACTTGTTGACAGTTCCATCTGATCCTAAGGTTCTAGCCAATTATGCAATTGTATGCTTATTTGTTCGTTGTATGTTTATTATTTACTTAAATGTCCATGTGTTTAGTTGTATTTCTGTATCCTGTTTCATTTTTAGAGGAATGAGAATTATATTAAATCTTGAGAACAAAATCATCCTTGACGCTTTATGCTCCACAAGTGTATATTAATTAAAGGCCTCACAAGGGCATAAAATAATGAATCGAATGTAATGGGATGTAACAATTGCATATATAATAATAACAAGGCTTAGTGACATTTCATGTCATTGTGAGGCTTATTTATATGGTTTTTCGAAGAATTACGCAATCCCTCCTTACTTCATTTTAAGTGGCTCTAGATGACTAAGTCCTTTTCCGAGAATTATGACTATTTAAATGTGAGTTTGGGCCTAACGACATTTTTTAATTCTCTGTTTTCTTTAGCCTGATATCTGCATCACAACGCAATCAAGTGCACCTTCGTCCTTTGCTTGCGTGCCCGTCTCTACCTCAACTGATGTAGGCTTTCGTTCTCCCAACATACCCTCTTCTTTCCATCTTCAACTGGCCGATCAGCAAAGTAAGGCTCAACAGCCTCCAAACGTAGAGCATAAGGGGGAAGTCACCAGAAATCACAGTAATGACGGCTCTTCTTCGACTCCAGGATTCAAAGTTTTAAACGACGTCGGTCCGACAAACGGTAGCTCTGATTTGACGAAATTAATTGAAAAGGCCATTGAAAAAGGTCGAAACCTTAAAGAAAATATCATTCAGGCGGCCCGAAGTAGTGTCATGGATGGCAGGTAGGTCATTCTTTTCATTTTACACTTTTTTTCTTCCCAGCTACCCAATTCTCACATTTTGCCTATTCGTGAAATATTTAGGAGGGATGTTTCATGAAAGAGGTAATAATAACACAAAAACTCTTAATATATATGTGGATGATCATTTTACAAAATGGTAGCATGGTATGGATAGTTTAGATAAATTTTGTTCTTAATTAACCGTACTGATTACAATATGAAGTTGACAATTGAGATAGAGAAAGACATTAATTTATGTGAGAAGTTAACAGGGATGTATATAGAGAGCCCACACATGCTGGTTTTATCCTTAATTTCTACTCGAACCATAAGTATAAAACAAAGGTTGACATTTTAAACTTTATGATTATCCGGAGCATAGGACTAGCCGATAGAGGCCATTGTGATAATGAACTGGATCGACTCAAATTAATATCTCTTGAGAATAATTATCCCCTGGGTTTGATTGAAGATAACATTAGATTAAGAAATAATACCTTTTTGAATAGTGAATACGTAAGGAGATATAAGGCGACTTCATCTCATGTTTTATCATTACCTTCGTTCATTCTCTCTAAAAGGAGAGTTGAACAAGTAAGGAAGTGTGGAATAAAAACGGTCTTAAAGAAAACTACGACACTTCCTTCAATTTTAGAGGTTTATAGAGACAGTTGACCCACTATCCAGAGCAGGCTTATACAGAATAATGTAATTATGTGATTTTTTGATGTTAGAAAGACCTGTCATCCCATTCAAAATAAACTACCTGTAGATGCTGTTGGGTTTAAGAATCAGATGTAGCAGAAGATATGGAATAAGCTGGAAATGAAAGAGAATGGTCTAGAAATTGTCGCTTGGCTACTAATGTCATGAGATGTATTCACCCTATTTCGTGTAAGGTGATGAAGGACTGGTAGTAGAATTTTCCCACAATG